TCAATCGTTATGCCAATTTTGCGGTAACCATTAATCGGTTTTATTGTCATAATTGTATTTTTTATCACTCGCTTTGAGCATAAAACTTTATGTTCAGCCAAATCTTTATAATCATCGGGCAAATTATACCACGCTAATTTATTTTCTGACAAAGCCGTCAATTCGAAATTATCGTTTCTTTTTATAATATAAAAAAATAACTTATCTGAAGACATCTTCTCTTTCTTTCTTTCTCTTTTTTTTTTTTTTTTTTTTTTGGAATATAACTTGTAATTGATTTGTAAGATTGTTTCTAAATAAACCTGATTTATTAATCTGTAAAACAGTTTATTCAAACAAATTAAATGTCATGTAATCAAATAATATAAAATAATACAGAGATATAAATTAAAGAAAACATACCTGTAAAACAGTAATCAATTACAGGCTTATTCATACGAAACTCATAAATCAAATAAATTATAAAATATGTCAATCACGTGGTGCAGCACATTTATTGCAGCACATTTATCGAAGCACATTTATCGAAACCCAAACAAAGATCCAACATATATCAAAGATATTGAATATCATAGGTATGAAATAAATACATAAATGTGGTTACATTTACATATATATATATATATATATATATATATATATATATATATATATATATATATATATATATATATAGAGAGAGAGAGAGAGAGAGAGAGAGAAAAAGTTTAAATTTTTCCGAGAGAATTCAAAATAATTTGAAACTACACCATAACACAATTGTACAATTAGAATGTGTAAATACATTATAAATGCATTATAACTACGTATATCTATTTATCTATCTATCTATTTCTATATTTAGTTTTGCCTGCGTATGATATTTGGTAAAATTTATTTGATAGGAATTGAATATAACCTTTAACAGGCTGATTAACTACCATCCAGTAAAATAACTAGGTACTGTTAACATGACGTCATTTCCTCCCAACGATTTCGCGATTTTATTTGATGTTTCTTAATTAGTCAGGTCACAATCATAATCATGATCGACATCGCAATGAAATCAAATTGGGAATTTTTGAAATTTTTGAAATAAGTATCTTTATTCATTTTAATAAACTACTTTGTTCAATAAGATTCTGTTTGATACATATAACTAGAATAAATATTAAAAATTCATTTACTTTAGTTTAAAAATCTTATAACAATATTGTTTAAGTTTATTATATTAAGACATTTCTCATTGATTGGTTGGTTGATTGACTGATTGGTTGGTTGGTTGATTGATCGAAAACATTTTAAAATACATTTCTCGATTTAATTATTACATTGATTTAAACATAATAAGTCAAGTAAATATTTTATATAGCTTTACCATTTAATTATCTAAGTACGGTAAGCCATCATTTAATATTAATTTAATATTTTGGAGTTTTAATTTGCTAATGAAGTTTGCCGGGCCTCCGATTTGGAGGGGGCCTCCAAAAAGCCAATTACGAAAATTTTTAAACAATTTATTTATTTAGTAAGTGTATAGACGTGATTTTGTGTTTTGATTTTATAATATATTTATTTATAAATAATCTGTAGTAATGCATAAACTTAGTTAGAATAAACGCTTTTTTAAAATCCTGACCGAATTGGTAATCCACGTCTATTTTTAGTCGGACATTGACATTATACTTGAATGTGATTGGTTGATATAGTTTTTGGACGAGTCGGCTTTTTCAAGCTTTTTTTGTTGTCTGTTCCGTTTGGTTTATTAGAGTGAGTTTTAAATTTTATTTATATATTTATCAATTTCTTCTTTAATAAGTTTAAATATAACTACTATCTTTTAGGTAAGAAAAACGGAAAATATACTTTCACCCACCGGTACTGACTCACTAGTTTAAATCTAAGGTACAAAGTGTTGATAGGTAAAGACGGATATCTGTTCTCCTCGGTTTACGTGACTGATGTTACACCATATTTTTTTCACTTTTGATTTTTTAAATTATATTTTAAGCCCTGAATTATTATAAATTAATATAAATAAATTATTAGAATTAAAACACTATCAACTTTTAGATAGATACGTGATCATGAAGAGACATCATCCAAGTGGAGCACAAAAACGAAAAATTTTGAAAAGTAAAAGGGAAGAAACCGAAGCTCTGTCTGGATCAATGCTTAAATTTGTTAACCAAGTTGCCAAACCAGAATCCATTATTGCTAGTTCATCAAGTCAGCAGACTGATTTAGATACAACCGTAGAATCTGACCAAGGAAAAACAACCACCGAAACTGAAACGTCAAACCAACAATGCGAGGATGAAATCAATTTTTCTAGTGAAAATGATATTTTTTTAAATTATGATGTGGGAAATTGGACAATTCCGTTATCAGATAACATCAGAATCAGTATAGTAAAACTAAAGAGTGAATATTCCAAAACAAAAATGGTCCTTTAGAGTTGTCAAAGAGTAGGGAAGCAAACAAAGGGTCAAACTCGACAGTTGACAAAGCATTGGTTCTACAAGCATCTTCCAAATGGTGAAAAAGTTCTCAGAAAGTGGATGGTTTATTCTCCTTCCAAAAAATGTTTATTTTGCTTTTGTTGTCAACTTTTTGCTGCTTGTGATAAAGAAAGTAATAATTTTTCAAAATTTGTTACAGGGTTTAATACTTGGTGGAAACTAAACCCTAAGAATTTACATCACGAAAATTCTGAAATTCACTTAAACAATCATGAAAAATGGAAAACATTAGAACTAAGTTTGAATCTTAATAAAACCATTGATGCCGTTCATCAATAAAATCGAGAACTGGAAACTAAAAAATGGAATGACATTTTACATCGCTTATTGGATGTCACCATGTTTCTAGCAAAAAAAAATTTACCTTTTCGAGGCCACAGAGAAGATGACTTTTCTAACAACAAAGGCAATTTCTTAGAGTTAGTTGAATTAATTTCACACTACGACCCTGTCTTAAAAGAACATTTAGTGAGGGTCCAACATAGCAAGGCAGGAAACACGATTTCATATCTTTTCCCTAAAATTCAGAATGAATTTATTTCTATATTGGGAGATACTGTGAAACAGAAAATTATTGATGATGTAAAGCAAGCAAAGTATTACGGGATAATGTTTGATTCAACACCTGGTATATCTCACCAAGACCAATTAAGTGAGATTATTAGATATGTTCATATAAAAAACAAAAATGTAGAGGTAAGAGTATCATTTTTAGGGTTTTTACCTCTTGCCAGAAAGAAGGCTATTGATATCACACAAAGAATTGTAAATATTATTGATGAAGAGGGTTTGGACATAAACCTATGTCGAAACCAAGGTTATGACAATGCTTCGGTAATGTCAGGTGTTCATTCTGTGGTACAAGCCAGGATCCATCAAATAAATCAGAAAATTTTATTTGTACCTTGTTCTAATCATCCACTTAACTTGAGCGGGGTTCACGCATTTGGAAGCAATCCAACTTGTGTAACGTTTTTTGGAACAATTGAAAGCATTTACAACTTCTTTTCTTCATCAACTCATAGATGGGATATATTGTCAGAAATAGTCGGGATCACTGCAAAAAGGCTAGCAGGAACCAGGTGGAGTGAGCAATATCATGCGGTGAAACCTGTAATGAATCATTTCAGCAAGTTGGTACAGGCTTTAGAAAAATTATGTGATCCATCAGAAAATGTAGATACGAGAGGTTCAGCTCAAATTTTAATGAAGAATATTCAAGATTTCAAATTTCTTGCTTATCTTTATTTCTGGAGCAGTATTCTTGAGGAAGTCAATCATACTCAAAAATACTTGCAAACAGAAGGAATTGGTTTAGATAAAACCATTGAAAAATTAGATTCCTTAAAACTTTTTCTGCATGAGAGTCGCGATGAATTGGTTGAAAATGCATTGATATTTTCTACAAAAATTTGTGAAGAAATGGGAATAACTACAGAAAAATTGGTTCGAAAAAGTCAAAGAAAGCTTATGCCTGGAGAAGAAAGTAAAGATGAAGCTTTAACGTTGAAACAGGAATTGAGACGATCAATGTTTCAGTCACTTGATAATTTTTATCAAGATCTTAGAAAAAAGATAGAATCAATGCAAAATGTATATGTAAACTTTGCAGCCATTCAATCATCACATCTTATTGGAATGGAGATAGAAAAACTTTCAAAGCTGATACCAAATCTGACAGAAACGTTTGATGAACTAGAAGAAAATGAAATGATACCCGAAATTAAACGATTAAGACGTCATCTTCAAGCAGGGAAAATTGAGAAAGATGATGTTAAAAAATGGTCTGCACTGAAAATGTTAACCTATATAATAGAAATTGATTTACACGAGTCAGTTCCAAACTTATATTTAGCTTTAAAGATTTTTTTGACAGTGTGCGTTTCAATTTCTTCTTGCGAAAGAAGCTTTACAAAATTGAAGCTGATTAAAAGTTATCTTCGTTCGACAATGAGTCAAGCAAGACTTAATAGATTAGCAATCCTATCAATTGAAAACACAGTGGCGAGAAATATTAACTTTGATGAAACAATACAAATATTTTCTGATGCAAAATCTCGTAAAAAACAGTTTTAATATATTTTTCGATTAGCTGAATCAAAATTTTGTGGCATATGTGTACTGACATGTGTAAATGTTTTGTATCTATGTATATTGCATTTTTGTAAAACATAAAATATAAAAACATTTTTCATTTATTTTCTGCATCATCAGCTAATTAAAAAATGAAAAAAAGAATAAGTGTCTTATCCTTTTCTGGACATCGGCGACCATCAATTTCCACAAAATATGAACTGTGGTTAGTTTTTGTCGATGAATTTCTTGGCAGAGGTATCGACATATGTTACTATTTCTTTTTGCCATTGCATCAAATAAGCGACCATATGATGGTCTTTGGGATGAACAGCATGGTATGCTTTCGAACTCGATGACACTGACTTCAACGACCAAGCAGATAATCATTACATCCACCATATAATATCTATGTATACATATTATTTATTTATGAAAGGCATCAAATATTTCCGCCCAGGCCTCAAAGGCCCTAGGAACGCCACTGATAATACCTCTTGCGACTGAATGGGTTCTTAAACCTTGTAACAACGAGATGTTCTTACCTATTGGTCGAGACACCTCAATTTGAGTTTCTTGGTTACAATAATTGAGTTGTGTTATCTTAAACCTTATTCGGCAGGCTACTGACGAGTCTCGTGAGAGACGAAACGTACGTCTGGCCTATGGGAGGTAATGGTTTACCAATAATATATATATATATATATATATATATATATATATATATATATATATATATATATACATAGGATAAGAACATATGAAGTCATGTCAAAACTCACATATTTACAATGCAAAATAATTAAAATTTTTTTTGTTCGAAACACAAAGTACAACAAAAAAAACCCCAATTGGATGCTTAACTTGGCGATATTTCAAACTGAATTGAAAATGTGAATAAGTAATACACGGTGAAGCATTAGCATTGGGCGTTTCTATGAAGGGTCGTCGCCAGGTTTGTTTGAGCTGGTGGGCAACGCTAACAATGACTTCTCTCGACATTTTGTATTATTTTCTGCCAAATATCAGTAACAATGATAATAATTTTCAATACTAATTATAAGAAAATAATTTTTATATACTTTTTGTTTTTCAGTATGAAATAACATAACATAACAAAGATTTTTGTAGTGATCCAAGAAGACTGTGTCTGTGACAGGACCACTATGAGACTCTTTTTAATAACTTCTTTTTGTCGAGTTTGCTTTAAAGTTATTAGCTGTTTCTGTGCATATCATTTCATCTCCCAGTTTGACAACTCTGCAGCTGAAAAATTTTTGTTTTATGGATTCCGAACTTTTTTAAAGATCAAACATTTATGCCCCCTTGTTTTAATATTCATCCTAAGCTAAAAAAGCATCTATGATCAACTGGCTCTCTCATGACAAATCGTAAAAATACGTTTTCTAAAAATCTCAAAAAATTTGAAATTTATGAAAAAAATATTTCAACCGAAAAAATTTCAGTTTTTTAATTTATTTTAAAATAGTTTATGATTTAAACAAAATATTAATTTAAATTATTATTTTAAGATATAACGATTGAAATATATAACTTTAGATATGCATTTTGTTTCAAATCGAAAATACGGCTGCTACTCGTGCCGATAAAATTTCTGTCGATCAAAACTTGGAAGAGTTAACTTTGCCTCTAGCTTTTCAAAATTGAAAAAAAGTGTCTTGAAATGATTTTTCCGATGCTCTATAACTTTTTGCACAAATTAACAAATATGCTAAGGCATGTATTTTTCCATTAAAATCAAGAAAAAACTTATTTAACTTTCTAAAAAAAATCTTTCACATCAGCTTACAACAACATTTAAAAACATCGGGAAGGTTATTAATTAATTATGATTAGACCAGCGAACAGACAATTGTTGACGTCGAAACACCACAAATTCATGAAGTTACATTACGGTTAAAAAATTAATATTGTCGGTCCCTGCAAATTATGATTGATGTTCATGGATTAAAATTTTGCAGCTATATAAATGGCCATGTAAGACAGAACGCAAACTACGCATACTGGTTGGTCTCACATTGCCAAATTTACGCAAATTGTTCAGTTTTCAATTCTTTTTTCGCTTCAAATTAAGAATAACTTATAATTTTTTTAGTAATCATTAATTATATTTTTCGTAAGAATGCAGATTAAAAATGTATGTTTTGTTGTTTTAAAAGAGGATAGATGGTTTCGACGTTTTCACAGTAAAGAAACCTCCGCAGTAAAAAAGTCTCGACAATAAAAAAAATTCAAATAACGACAAATTAGAAGCCGCCAAATTTTTCGTTTGTTGTCTCTAAACTTGTAATTTTGTATTTTTACCAACAAACATGTTTTATTATATTAATAATTCATTGGCAAGGGCCAATACGTATATAAACAAATGATAAATCAATGACAAATAAAAAACCAATAAATCAAAACAACGCGGACTGTGTGATTGAACAATGGAAAGTTCGAACGAGTTATATTGATTAAGACACCATCATCATTTTCATTGCGACGATCAGCGCTCATCAACCAGTTTAAAATTAATATTGAAGTCTAATGATTTGTTTATCAGTGGAATAATAAAAAGCTTAAATATTTTTCATCTGATTATCCACTCGTTTCGTATTTAAATTTATTTTTTCCATGCGTTCACAAGACAAACTTTTAATTTTATCAAACAGAAATGTTTCTAAAGAAATGTGAAAAAATGTGACGCATCATTGCCAGATTGCTTGAACTGTCATAAGGATAACAAGTTCTCCATCTTCCCACTTAGCATCCTGCATGACCTCTCTTGGCGACAATGTTTTGCTGCTCAGAGGGGGCACGAAGTTTTGACTGACAGCCGCTGATGTAAGCAGGGTCTGTGGAATATGTGAGTGCATTTCAACTCGTCTGCAAGGGTGTTTTCTTTAAATTGATGAGGACAGATAGAACACTCGTCGAATTGGAATCTGCCTTACGACATCATCACCTAGGGAAACATTTTCGTACGACTCACTTCTCAATGTTGGTCTTTGTAACATTTGGTCATAATATAAGTCCTGAGCAGTTTTAAACTACTTGTACTGTTCGCCAACAGTAAATGAAAGAATTCGTTTCATTAACTGACTTTCTTCATTTGTTGGAACGTAATTCATCATTAACATAAGAGACGCGAAAGTATTTTAAGTCCTTTGTCAGAGAACTTATAAAACCAGTTGTTTTCCATCATTATCTTTTCAAAGATATGCAATTCATAAAACGCAAACCTTTATTGATATGTTCAACGCAGTTGTCTAACACTTCAATTACAGTCTTTACACCACCTGAAATTTCAGACATCGCTGCGACAAGTAAATTTACCAGATGTGAAAAATAATAGGATTAACTGATGAATTAGTTGAGGAATTAGTTGATGAATTAGCTGATGAATGTTTGATTACCCATGTTTTGCTTTAGTTGTCGGTTCATAAAATGGACAAATTAAGTCGTGCAAAATAATTTTATTATCGCAAAAAATACAAACCTAAACGGAAAAAGGAAGTTTGAAAGGGAAGCAAAGAAGTAGTACTAATAATAAAATAAATTTGAACATAGATATGAAAGTTAGTGATAAAACCTGATAATTTTGACGTATATAGTTTTTCGTTATACAGGCTGGAAATAAGTTTTTTTACCCAATAAAATGAATTGTTAATGTTTAATATTTTTTTCATGAGTACTTAAAAAAATTACGTTAATTTCATAAGTGGGTTCAAAAAATTGTGCAATCTTTCGTAACTTTTGGTTTGAAAAACATTATAATTAAATAATAAGGTTGTATAATTCAAAGATTTTAATTATATTTACTTTACTAGTTGAATTAGTCCAGGGAGGGTTTTTGTCCGGAAGTTAAATGAGTGGTGGGGTTTTGTTTTGGGGGGTTATTTGCTTGGGGTTTTTGTCCGGAGATTGTTTTGTCCTGAGAGTTTTTTGTTCAAAGGATTTCGTTCTGTCACCGGTATTATAGGCCTATATATATTAATTCTAGCATGGGGCAAACTGCAATTTTGGTTATCACATTTTGATAATTGTTCTAAACTCAGAAAAAATTAATGAGTTATACTAAAAGTACTATCATTTGTTTTCAATTTAAGCAATCTAAAGACGTTAAAAAGCATTTTATAATTATGATCTTGAAATACAAATTTTTTTACAAATTTGGCGGTTGGTTTCATTTTCTGTTTTCTATTTTCGTTTTACCACTATGTTTTTGAATTGAACATTGTTTATAACGTTAAAGGTTCTAATTAAACATAGAAAATATTTCGAATTTAATCACAACAAACGCATTTCAAATTTAAACTGGAATTTATTGAATTTCTACATTCAAATGAGTCATTGTTTCAATCAGTTTATTTATATAATGTTTGTACCATTACAGAGCTTGGCATATGGAGCAGAGCTTTATTACAGAGCTTGGCATATGGAGCAGAGCTTTACTGCAGAATTTGCGATTTTCAAGTTGTTACAGGACACATCGTTCACCTCAAATTTGTCACTATTTTGAACCAATTCCAAGCAATCTTCATTGTTATTGCTGTTGCTGAGATAAACGTCGATTCCAGCGGGGAACTCAATTTTGGTTTTATTTATACTTGCTGTGTAACGATTCCAGTAGAAGTTATTTGTCGTACGATCCCAGTGTCCTGCTGTCCAATAGCTGATCGATTTCCTAGTCGGACTGTAACAGGTATCTACAACAGTGATTTTTAAACTTTTTTTTATATAAAAACTTTATTATTTAAGAGCAATAAAAATACCATTGTAGTTGTCCATTAAGAATGAACCCAATTTAATATAATAATCGAATGTATCGACAACAGCCAAATCAGCCCCTAACTGTCCACACTTAGCGTAGCCCTCGTCACCGTTCAACTGATCCGTAATGACCTACACACATCTTCCGCCGACTCTCACGAAACAATCTGGACATTTACCTGCAATCATTTCAATTATCGTTTCAATTAAAATATAAATGTTACTAACATTCGATGTGGTGAATAGGCGTGAAATTGATGAAGCAAACTTCGACCACACCACATAAACGAAGTAGAAACAGCCGTAAAGACAACCTTCGACGGTGAGAGCGAAGAAGCAGAGAGCCATCAAGACATGAAGCAGACCTTTGCATTGAGCCATCTTGCACGTTGGAGATGTTCCTGACAATTCACATGCAAAACGTTCATCTATAAATAGTATTAAAGAGCAAATGCATTGAATATAAATGTATGTATGTATGTATGTATGTATGTATGTATGTATGTATGTATGTATGTATGTATGTATGTATGTATGTATGTAAGTATGTATGTATGTATGTATGTATGAATGTATGTATGTATGTATGTTTGTATTCAATTTATTAATCTTGTAATTTTTAAAATATGTCATGAAAAAAATTAAACAAAACTTCTGTGCGCCCGTAAAAAATTTGATATAAAACGAGACACATGTCACAATTCAAACAAACTATTAAATTCATCAAGACAAATATTCTAATAAAAAAAAACAAAACATGCATGCTTCAAATGATCAAAAAAATATTCACCGAACACAAACTGCAAGCATTTCACTAGTAGATAACATCATACACGTCAGAAACACACACCACCCACATGCACGCCTGTAATATTTTTGATCGAGTTTTTAAAAAAAGAACATAAAATTAATAACATGAACAATAAATTGATAACAAAAGAACATTAATTACATAAGAAAACGAAAATGTTTTACTAACGAATAAAAAATAGAAAAAGAAGAAATAAAATAAAACCAGTTGCGCACATGTGTGTGTGTGTGTGCTGGGGGGTAGATGAGTGTGTATGTGTGTATATGTGCTGTGTGTGTGTGTGTGCAGACAAATTTCTCAAGTAAGAAAGGTTTGCTGGTTGATGCGCAACATGCAGACATCCCTGCTTTCAGATAACCAAGTTTTATTGACACTTTGTCAGTGCTTTTCACTATATTTTTCAATAACTATTACTTAGAAAATTAATTTATTTTTGTTCAACTTTTTTACATAATTTACCAAAAATATTTTCAGCCATAATTGCATTAACACACGAGTGAGTTACTGAACGAAAATTAATAAATAAATTAATTAAAAAATTAATTAAGTAAGTAATTATTGAACGAATGAATGAAAGGAGGTGAATGAAATAATTTTAAATTGATACAGAGCATGCACTGTAAACGTTAGATCGGACCAAATTTTTAGAACATGGCCACACTGTTACGAACATAGGTAAATTAAAATTTATTACGATTTTCAAATTTTAAGTTATATATTTTTTTAATTTGAGTAATTTAATTGTAATAAATTGATTCTTAGTAAAACTTCATTAAAACTTAAATTTATGAGCAATTTATAATATTGTTATGTCCGCTGGAATAGTTTTTTTTTATTATTCTTTAAAAATCAGGATCTGAGAGACGCAGAAACTGTAACAACATGCAAGAATAGTCAAGAAACTGTTGTGAAAATTGCACTGTATATTTAATTAATTGTTATTATCTTGATTCTATAACTTTTTGTTTCCATTACTAATTGATTGTTAGAAAAGATATCTTTGCAACACCGATTGGAAAATTGCTGTACATATATGATCCCAACACTCATGAGTTGCAAGGAGGTTGGACTTGGCGTTGTTGGGTTATGGAGTTACGCTGGGAATTACTGGCAATCGTCCAACATAGAGCATTTTTCAGAGATAAGTGAATGATTTCAGTGTTTCTATTACCAATGGCATTCATATAAACGTTTAAACAAGTTTGTGTTTGAAGCAGCTGTGTTTATTAGAAACTAGTGTTCCTACTACGGTAGAACATGATGTCAGAAGCTGTTTTTTATAGATTAAAACTTTTGTAATACAGAATGCCGGCAGTAAAAGAACCCAGTACAACTAATCTGTGGGTGGAACTACAAAAATAAAACCTCGACTGAAAATGAAGTGAAAGCAGTTTTGCTTAACCATCTAAGGAACACTCTGAAAAACGAAGGTAACAATCCTGATGAGTTCGCTTCCGGATCCTATGGAAGAACTTGATCTACAGCTGGCAGCATTAGTAGCAAATCGGAGTAGCAAAAATTGTACTTGACCGAACCAGCAACTGCTATACAAGATCCTAACATCATCTCACCAGCTTATTCAACTATTTAATATGGCAAGCCTATCTTTTCAAAAAGAGTGTCGGGGTCGGAAAAAATATTAAAATAAATTCCGGCTCCGTGAAAGTTTGCGACTCCCAAATCCGACTTCCGATTCCTACTCCTGGTCCCGATTTCCAGAAATTTTTAAAAATTTGTCCATCATAATTTTACCTTATCATCACTACTAAATAAAAATAATAAATCACTTTAACAAATCAGTCAATACATGCTTCACCGAGTACTCAATCTATGTGTACTTGTTATACGAGTTTGTAGAAAAACGCATCCCATTGCGAAATGAAAAGAAACAATTTGTAATCAAACACTCTTTAATATGTTCTTATAAGAATGATTAAATTGACTTCCAAATAAGCCAAAATTACATTGACAACGAAAGCAAAAGATAATATGGTGACAACCCAACTGTTGTTTTTAAAAAGATCGTGACCCGTTATCTAAAAAAAGTGGAATAAATTATAAAGCGCTTGACATTTTGAAATTAAAAACAATACACTATATGCATCACGTTTTTCTCAAAAAAAAGGATTCAAAAAATTAAAATTGTTTTATGGAAATTAAAATGTTTGAGAGTTTTGAAAATTTTTAAAAACGGTGTTAAAACAGTTTTAAAATTTATACAGATTAATTGTTTTATAATTATCGTTTGATGGCGGCGCTTTTTGAAGTTGCTGATACACCGCGATTATAAAAATATTATTTTAAAAAAGGAAAAAAATCAATCAATCACATACAAACGTGGCACATTTCAGCGCCATTTTTAGAGCTGCAAAGTCGCAAAATATTGAAAAAATATCTTAATAATTCAAAATCGATTACTATTAAACGAGAACATTTATTTATTTTCAGACATTTCTGACGACTTCGGCGAAATAACCAGAACAATAAATGCATTAACGTGATTTCAACTTTGCCGTTCATCACCAACACGTTCTTTCTATTCTTTGTAGTACCTCCGAGAAGAACATCAGCCGTAACTTTCAGAACTTGCTGCCTTTAAGAAATTCAACTCCGTCGACAGAACTTTTTTCCTTTCGTTATCAGAACGACTGTTAATTGTAAGCCTGAACGTGTTTGTGTTGTTGCTGGTTGATGTCGTTGAGAATGGCAAGTATTCGACTGGCTTTCTAATCAAACTGCGCCAAGCCTGACGCACAAGTTTCTCTCGCAAGTTGAACAGTAAGAAGATGAATAATCCTTGAAGAGAGTTGAAGATGGCAAACAAGAAGTACATGACGACGGATGCTTTTCCATATGCAAAGAAGGCAAATGTCCAAGTCAATCCTATTTGGATAACGAAAACCACGTAAATATATGTATATATGTATTTATATATTATATAGATCTGTAAGAATACAAAATATTAACAAAAAATTGATGATTAAATTGATGACTGACCCATTATTACGAAGCAGCAGAGAGCTACTTGAACTTGCAACCAAACCAGTTGACTTTGCGATTGATTTGTTATCATACCTTCAAGGTTGTTGAAATATTATTTTTCAAAATAAACAACCAATCAAACAATTTACCTTTCGGTCTGTCGCATGAGATTCCTTTAATTATCATCACGAACATGCAAGTGTTGGCAAGTATTACCAAAGCCAGAGGTAACAGGAAAGCAAAGTAAAAAGCTTCTTTGGCTAACCAGCAGCTATTATTAAAGTTTATTTTCACATATTATCACATATTACTAAATATATTTATTAATTGAATTACTATTGTTTCAATGATTTTTATATTTTCAAACTCTCATTATAAAAAATAAAAAAAAATAAAATTCTAACTGATGCTCGAAACCGTCAAGTTGTTTGTAGTCGATTGAGCCAGTGATGATGACGACGATGGCTGGCAGAACTTGCAAACAATAATTTGATGAAATTTTAAAATATTGCGTTAACAATTTTCAATACATTATTCAATTCAAAAGTTACGATCAAATTTTTGTTGTACGACTGAAGCTAAATAATCGACAAACTCCAAGCCGGTAGCACAGTTTTCCAGACAAAACTTGAGATGTGTGTGTTAAACACCTTTACAAACTTCAAATACTGCAAGATGGCCTCAATTAACATCCACAAAAATGATACCAGAAGGAAATAATGCAATAATGCTGTCACAACAATGCACCGGATAGTCTCCCATGAAAACGACGACGATGATGACGACGAAGATGAACATGACGCTGACGACGATTCAGATAGTTGCTTCTTATCCAGCTGGAATATAATGATGAGATTTACACAAATGAGAGATATTGATAAGTTAAGTAGTGCAATGTGGTACTGCCCTCTGCGAAATTTCCTGGAAACAAAACATCAAAAGGTATAGATTATAATCAGCTTGAAAACAGGAAAATTAATCACATTATAGAAAAAATTTTAATTGAAAATGTGGATGACAGTACTTGAAAATAATCTGTCCGGTGATGACGAGGAGGAGACAGACGATCGAGACAATCATTCCAACCATGGAAACCCACTGCAAAGTATCGCCCACCGCCTTCGAATGTTCCTCTTTTCGGAAACCCTTCACAAACGGATGTCAGTCATAATATCACAACATAAAAACATTTATAAAATAATTCATTCTTTAAATTTTTCAAAAATATTTTTAACAAATTACTCTAAAAGTTAAAATTATTATTTACCGCTAAAACAGCAAAATTTGTAAGATGGTCACTTTCGCATTCGATAAAAGAATCATCAACACCTGAATAAATTGTCTTCAAGCCATCTGTCAACCAGTGAATTTCGTTGCTCTCATATCTTGCGTAGACGCAAGTTGGGTTCGAAAAATGTCTCTGTCAGAACAAAAACATGATTTAAACAAATAAAAGTTTAAATAAAAATCTCAAGTGTACATTTTTCAGACGGAATTTTATTTTGACTTTATTGCTCAAGTTTGATATGTTTCTTCCTTTCACGACTGATTTGATAACCACTGAATTTATTTCCCGGCTCATGACATCATTATTTCCATCCTCATCAACTGAACATTTTTTGTTTCCATCGTTAAATGAATCATTTGAGTCAAATGCTTTATCCGCAAATATTGATGACGACCATGATGACATAGACGAATGAAAAAAGGCGGTGGTTTTATAAACTATGAAACCCGTTTTTAAAGAAACATCAGCAGATTCTGTAAAACAAATCTCAGTTATAATGATATTATTAGACAAAATAAATTCTGTTATTTTTATCGATTCTCCATTGTATATTGCAATTAACTTTTGCATCGTTTTCATCCGTTCAATCTATCAAATTGAATGGAGCTTACCGTAAGATGTTCGTTTGTAAACTTCATCTGGTAACATGAGAGCAACCTCCAAATCAGCAGCCCAGCCATCGTAACTACTTGAACTGTTTGAATGATTGCTGCCCTTCCTAAATACGTCGTCACCGTAAATAACATTTGCAGAGTTTTGGGTGGTTTTCGTTTTCAAGAGTCCAAAACCCAAGTTATGATGATTATCTAATTTTGAATCGTGAAAGTGGGCGATCAAGTTTTTGTAAGACCATGTGATGTTGATGTCTTCACTTGATTCGTTGTTCATGAACTTGTTCATCAGTCTTTCCATTGAATTCAAAATTCTGAAATTTTGTTTGAATATTCAGGAGCATTTTTATTTTGTTTGGTTTTATTTAATAAGAAGGGAATACTTTATAGTTTACAATTGTAGCATAATTTTAAGGGATGATGAAATAACGACACGTACGATAATGACGCCCCGGTTCGATTTTGCGCTTGCTGAATCTTTTCAACGGGTGAATTTAATAGCTCGTCTATTATTGATATCAATACATTGGCGCTCTTCAAAAAAATGTAAAGTTATGTTTTTAAAAAAATTTAGATTAAAAATTTTATCTAAAAAATTTGGATGAGAATTTTTTTTACATTTGAATTGATGAGGACGCTGTCGCTGTTTGATTTCTGCAAAATAGCGGCTACCAGTGAAATATCGTTTGGCTGGATGGTTGAGCTCGTTGAATTTCCAGCTATCAACTTTTTGGTCATGTTTAGAATTTCCCCGTAATCGGCAGTCTGAAAATTTTTCCCATGAGTTTTCAATCTCACTAGGCAAGTCTATAAAAAAATCTAACATCTTTTCGAAAAATTTCAAGAAGTGATTTTGTTACATTTGAACTTTTATCAGCTTCATTGAGAACGATTGATGTACAGTTTAACACCTCAGTAAGAACCCAGCTGTAACCGTAAATAAAATTCCCTCTACATGCAGCTTTTGCTTTTGGAGGAAACGCTAAGTTTGGAACGAGTTAATTACATTTTATTGCATGTTACTAATTTTGAGGAAATAATAAATTAGGAGAATCAAACCAGGCCAGTTGCATAAGATATCGCTGAATGCTTCGTCATTTGCCAGTCCAACATTGAAATAGAATGCATCTGAGCCTAGCCTAACGATTTCTTTGTAACATCCTTCTGTTAATAAACAACATTTAAAATATAAATTGATTTTTTTTAAATCTGTTCATCCTATGAAAAAGTTTGGTCCACTCACCTGGGCTTCTGACCTTTATGTATTCATTTTTTAGCCTACAGTTAAAATTTACGTATGACAAGATTCAGCCACTACAAATTTAAAGTAAAAAATAAATTGAAGTGTAACATTATTGTACATTTCAAGTGGCGGACTGTTGGATGATAGAAATTTTTTTGTTTCAACTTCTTCAGGGTTAGTTGTATCTTCCTTTCCCTCTTCACTTTGAAGATCTTGAAACACTTGCCGTGGAATTCTACGTTTCATGGGTCGCGCCACATTTTGGGAGTATACACTTATTTTCACATCCAACATAATTTCAAACTCACCTCTGAAAAAACATCAAAAATGATTTCAAATAAAATATCAATGGTTATGTTCCACAAACCTATAATCAATTTTCATTATTTTATCAAGATAACCATCTGTACTGTTCAACCAAGACATCCATTTTTGTATATGAGGGTTTGAAATCCAATCTTTGATGTAATTAAATGTCACAAATGAGTACATGTCAGTCCATAAGACGGGTTGGGAGTAATTTATTGTTGCGTACAGGTAATCCGTCCTAATGTCTTACAAATTGCAATGAACAGAGGTGCTAAAAGGTGAAATAAAATTTGTAACAATAATAATTGTACCTGTAAATTTTAGAAAATAACTTTTGTAAACATTTCGGTCATAAGTTTGACTAGGTGATTTGAAGTTCCAAATACTGCAGTTGTGGTAGCCTTGTACCAAGCCTTTGCTTAACGTAGTTGAGATTAATCCAGAAGATGAAAGATTAAGGTAGTACTTCTCTGGATCGTCAAACTGCATGACCATGAAGTTATTGTTCACAGAAGACGACAAATGGTAATCTGAGTCGCCAGGATATTCAGAGTATAAAGGACACGAAGATTTCGTGTAGCCAGTTGATGGCATAAAAAATTCAACAACGGAATATGATTGTGGTGGAAACTTAAACTCTAAAAAAATTAAAATGGTATAAATATCTGGGAAATGAATGAATTTCACAATCTAAGCTAATAGTTTAACGATAACTAAATTTCAACATTTGTAAGCCAATTTGCTTTTTTAGTTTAGACAGTTGTGGGTTCAAAAAATTTTGAATTAAGGGCATTTATTTCCAAAAGAATAAATGCAAACAAAATATGACCAGTTCACGTAACACGTAATAATAGAACAATATTTCTGAATCAATATTATTAAACAGTTTTTGCTAAAAAAATTTAATAAATAATTTCAAGTAGATGAAAATTTTAGAGTAACCAAGCTTGGATTGCTGACAAATATAATAACGAGTTCCAGAGCAATCACGACGCATTGTAACACTTTCGAGATTGTCTATACGAATGAAGTTGCAATTCGTTCCGTGAGACGTGTCTCCATACTCAACAATATTTACAAAGTAGTCTCCAGAAAATATCTCTTCAAATAATAAAATGAAAGAATAGCAAATAATTTAAAAAAATGAATAATTAAAAATTATAGTCAAATTACTGAGTTTATTGAGATTTAAATCATCAGCGGTAGCTACACTTCCGTTTTTGAAGCGAGAACATTCGTAGGTGGCGAGGTCGTAGGTTACGTTATAATAGAATGCTTTGTAACAAAAGTTTGTGTTTCCTCCCTCTGCCCATCCTCCGTCACAAGTAATTGGCACTGCGATTAATCATTCGCTGTGATTAATTGAGCTCATAATTTATAAACTTTACTAACTCAACTTCTATGTGGGGTATATATGTCCATTGTTTGGAAACACGTGAAATTGAGTTTGTTGCTGCAATTTATTAGTTTAATCTGACCGGTAGATATCTGTAGAGCACCACACAGCTCAGAATCGCGACCGTAACTCTGCTCCCCAGGCTCGAACCCACTGACTGGTGTAACCGATCTGGTGAACATGATGTCAGGTTGTAACTGTAGAAAATCTTATAAAATGTCAATTAATATTACCCTGTCACTAAAGAAATTGGTGTAGAACTCTCCCATACCAACGAGCCACTGATCAATCGCAAACCGATCCATATCATTCCATCTGCAGCTAACAGCGAAAAATTATTTCAAACATTTCAAACTTCGATAACGACAACTACACCAATAATTTCAATTATATTTATAGTCACCAGTCAGCATGCCACATAGACAAACCTGAGTTTGATAATCGAAATGTTCGAAGTAATTGATCAATAGGAACAGTTATTTGGAGGCTCAACAGAAAAGCGTCTTTAATATAATTCATACAAAATTTGTTAGATTGTGTCCAATTCAGCATTGGCCATTCCTTCGTAGTATTCCAGTCGTAAAAGCAGATAGGTTGTTTGTCGTCTGCTTGTTTGCACTCGTGTCTTTCTGGTTTGAAGTCATCAGCAGCACCCGCATCGTAATTTGTTGACCGACCTGGAAGCTCAGCAAAACATAAATTTTCAAAATAAATCAATCGTAAATCGTTCAAACTGTTAATAAGTAAACTTTAAAAACATGTTTGACTAAACATTAACCATAGAAAACAAAATATTAACTAAATAATAACCTGCAACTACCGATAGCACCATCAACATCAAACACAACATCACGTCGTTAAAGATTAACACAAGCTGATTAGTTGATGCGAACATTGAAAGAGGCAGTGTAGAGACAATTCAGCGCTATTTATTTACATCTGCGTTCGTAAGCGGCCGGCAGACGATAATTAAAGAACAGTTAAACAACCCGGACATAATGATGGTGACTGTTAAAACGTAGCAGCTGTTTTAAGTTTGTGGTTATAATTGCTCAAGTCAATTTTGTTGCAACAACTTAAACCGAATGAAATGTCTTTTGTGCAGTAGAAATTACAAGGTTACATTAAACTAACATAAAGTTTTCACTTCAACTTAGCATTGGTTTTTGTGTTCCACGATAATTTCAAACGAGCATGCGTGTGGAGTTTTACAATTAAGAGCCGGCGTTACAATTGAAGGGCACATATATATTTTGGGTGATACAAAATGCATTTACGGTCCATTAAATCAGACTAAATCTTATTAAATTTTTGTTTTAAATATGAAAAAAATATTTTAATTTAAATTTTTATTAACAATGGTAACAATGTTCTTGAAAAGAAAAGCTGAAACTGTGACGTAAAACCCATCCCAATTACCGCGTTTTCAAAATTACAGCTTTAGTCATCGATAATTATCTCGAGCTTGTGCAGCGTGGCATATTTTGTGGTGGTAGAGGTCTGGCGAAATATGAAAATTACTCCATAATTGAGAACATTTAATTATTGTTTATTTATTAAATTCTTCCATAACAATCACCACCGCGTTCGTGAGTAAGGAGTGTATTATTTTCTACCATCGTTTCAGAACCTTCAGCGCGATTCATCAAAAAACCATCATCACCAATAAAATGTTTTATTTAGTTTTCAACATTTGAACCTCAACATTCTGTTAAATTAATAGTATTGTTATGTATACACACATAGAAATATTTTACAATATTCTATAAATTCTACCGAATGTTTGGCGTTAATATGTTCGGTAACATTCGGTAGAATTTATAAAATATTGTAAAAATTATGGTCTATTACCAACACATAGAAATATATATATACATAAATAAATATAATGTTGAATGTTGGTAGTAGACCTTAATTTTTACAATAATAATTTATAGAATATTGTAATATATATATATATATATATATATATATATATATATATATATATATATACATACATAAAATATGAGGTAATTATGAGTTGACATGTTTTATACAGAGAAAATCTCTTAAATAGTGTTTGTTTGTAGTGGGAGATTTTGATCTGGTGTTTCCTGCAATAAGTGTTTAAAATGTTTGCCAATGTAATGAAAATATTGTCATCATTTGTGTACTTCTTGGGGATTTGAGTTTGCAAGCTCCAAACTCTAAAGTAAGACTTTTCTATAATAATTAATATTGAAAAATAAAAATAATGAAAAAATTCTAACTGATATTCAGATAAAATATGAAGTATCAAACACCAACGAAAATAAATTATTATTACAACTAATCTGCGTGAATCAATATTAGCAAGTTAAATCAGACGGCGACATGAGAGCAAGTTGGTGCAGCTGGTAAGAAGCTCGGTCTCGCTGCTGCAAAAAATCTTCGCCTGTCGCATGCGCGTTTGTGTGTGTGATGCACGGATTTGCCGTGGCGGATCTGGACAACTACTTTGACTGGGGACCGAAATTTTGAAAATGTCAAAATTTTTACGGAGAGGCCCAAAGTTTTTACCAAGGGCAAAAATTTGTGGTAGTGTGGCTGACGACCTTTTTTTGCTTATCACATCCAATTTTTGGCCGATTCGATTTATCTACTTAAAACGGTCTTTCATCTGAGTTTTATTGTAAAACTGCTAACAACCGGGAGGCAGTGCTCCTCCGGCCGGCCCTCTAGATTTGCCCCTGCATACGCTGTGTAATTTGTTAATACTTCTAAAATCAAACAAATTGGAATCGATTTAAATAATATAAGATCTGACTTGCGTTATTAATGCGCTCTGAACATGTTTGAACACTCTGTGCCTATGCATATCTTGAAGACTATCACACACATGGCACACGATGTCTAATGTTCATGCACATATGTACAGTATGTACAACTACGAAAAAATCATTTATGAGATTTTGTTAAAGTGATTGTGACTCAAAAAGTTTAATTGCAGCCAAGCAAGTAATGAAAGAGTTGTGAGTAAGTTTGTGTTTTCTGGAAGCTGCGAATAAAACGAATTAGAAGTCTTCAAATGTTCAACACAATTTTACAAAAAAATGAAGCAAAGGTTATCAAGAATAACAATGATAAAATGTAAAACATCGCGGTAAGATGGTCGTGGTGTAACTGTGGCCAGGTTTGATTGCAGAGGTTCCCGCTTAAACCACGCAATACGTGCGGCTGACGCATTGATTCACATGTACTTACATACGCGGTGTGTTCGCTGTTGGCAACTCTGGCAAATACTGCAAAGAGAATGATTCATTAACGGTATGGATCAGGAAATAAAGTCAAAAATTTCACAATTTGCAGATGACACTAAATTATGTGCTGTTGCTGACAGCGATGAAGGCATTGAAATTCTAACATGCAATTTCAACATCTACAAATGTGCACTGCACTGTCACACATATGGGAGCGAACAATGAGTAAAATGTATTTAAACTTGGTAACAAGCCACTGAAAAAGGTATGAAAAGGAAATGATCTAGGAGTGATACATCGAAGTGGTCAAGTAGCGCGTTATTGCACAGAGGCAGCTAGAATTGCAAAACAAGGTTTTAGGTATGATAAAAATAACAGTAAAAAGCCGAGATAGGATCGTCATATTAAAACTGTATAAGGCAGTGGTCCGACATAAGTTAGAGTACTGCGTTCAACTTTGAAATCCAGATTTGCAGAAAGACAGACATATGCTTGAAAAAATTTGAAGGAGGGAAACGAGAATGATCAAAGAGTGACGACATATGAAGGCAGATTGAATGTTGGGGATTTGAAAAAATTAGAAAAAAAATTATAAGAGGAGATTTGATTCAGGCATACACAATCATCACTTCATCAACCGGGAATCATTATAATTTTTTTGCGCTTTAGGTTTAGATGAACAGTAAAACTATATATATATATATATATATAAATATATATATATATATAAATATATATATATTCGTTCCTAAATATATATATATTTAGGAACGAGGTTTTCAGAAATGCAAATTTCATTGAAATTGTTTGCCCATTTTGCATTAATTAACTTCTTTATAAGACATTCAACGAGGCGGTATTGTTTGAGTTCATATTTATCTAAAACTGGAATAAAGCTAACAGCGCTGTTTCGGCGTAATGCCATCTTCAGAGCCTAAATATTGTTTAAACATATAATTTAATTAAAATAAATGTCTAATGTAAAATGTGAAAATATAGAAAATAAAATATGTATTAAATTGTGAAATAAATTAACCTTGTTGTAAATATCATAATAACTAAAGTTTATGTAGATTATATAAATAAAATAATGTAATTTAAATAAAATGTTTAGTAAAATAATTAAAATATAGAAATTTTATAAAAGTTTTAACATGGTTGAAAACGTTAGTGAAAACTAATTACGAATGACATGTGCGCCAGATATATAATATTGCTGTGTATGCGTTGTGAATACAACTATTGCGGTTGAATATGTGTGATACGAGTTTCCACATCAGACCTACGGATACATAGTTAAATATAAATGCATATATGTACATGCAAGATACATATCGATGTATAGATCAAATATTTCTACGTGTTAAAGCAAACTGCGTGTTAATGGGTTGAAATGTATTCAACGTAGAATGACCGAAACAGCGCTGTTAGCTTTATTCCAGTTTTAGATAAATATTTATATATATATATATATATATATATATATATATATATATATATATATATATAACTAACATTTCTTGACATTGAAGTGACGATAGATGAACATGAACGGACTTTTGTTGATTTGCCATTAGTGCTTCAAGTGTTAGTTTTATTTTAGCTGGTTCAGGAAGGATGTTGTCTATTTTGATGTAACTTTTGAAAGATTCTTTATGTAGACTAATGTTTAGAGCAGTACCGGGTGGTGATGAACATTAGAATGGCTCATTATTGTATTATGCGATTAACATTTTCAATCATTAAATATAATTTATTATAATATAATATAATCATAATATTTTACTGACAATTAAACTTATTACCAATTCACACAGTCATATGCCAACATTGTCAAAACTCCTCAAACAGTTAGGAGACTTTTTTCAACATTAACCTGGAGACTGACAACGTTGCGAAAGTACACGGGCCATTAAGACACTTCTATGAAGCAAAGGAAATAGGAAATGATAAATGGTATGAATGCGATACATGCAGATACAAGCAACAAGCATCCAAACATTTCACCATTCACCAAATCCCAAATGTGCTAATTATACAATTAAAACGTTATGGATTAAGTAGCACCGATGAGTGCAAAATCTCTAGGCATGTCCAATTCAAAGAGAATTTAGACATATTGTCATATAGTCGGTTCAGATACCGATGCAGATATTCCTGGCAGCAGACGAGCTACACTTGCAATGATAAGTAACTATTGCACGGTATCGAAGTTAACTAGGAATGTTTTCTGGGATCAAGCCACTACAACATCAATGTAAATGATCCGAGAGCACTAAGCGCAACAGCCAGTTCAACCAATATGCGAGGAGACAGTTGATTATGAATGACTCCTTCTGTATGGAAATACGCATGATTAACTATTATTCCGCTCTTTACTTATGGCTGATGCAAACTATGCATTTATTTTATGATATTTATGATTTATTTCAGCTCATTTCAATTTTATTTAAATTATGTAATGTCAACCTTCCAATTTTATTTTCGTTTTTTTAATCTCCATCATATTTCTCGTTGAATCTGTCTGAAATTTTTTTTTTGATTCTATTTTAAACTTATTAAATTTTCAATAAAACTCCCACTAAACGGGTTTAAAACAAAATAAATAGCGTGCAAATAAACCAAAAATGACGACACAATCTTCGGATTTCATGATAAAAAATCATTTTATTGAATTACTTTGCATTTGATCTTACAGCAGGACCAGCGCTTCAAACACTATACCGCTCACCGTCCATGAAAACATGATGAAAACAAAAGAGTTAATGATATGACTGAAACATTTCAAACATTTTATTTGAAACAAAGTTGCCAAAAACTGGTCAACTAAATTGTAAATCACAATTAGGTTAATCTGGAATTATTAGACCCATCATGTAAATGAATTATTTTATTTGTTAGCTAAGTAGGTCATTAAAACGTTGCAATGAGTTTTCAATCATCGATAAGAAATTAAGTCAGGTTTTTTCATAGAGGATATTACGTGGTAGCTCTATTTGCAGCTGGGAGTAGTTGAGGTAGAGTTTGCATCACGAATGTTTTTCATTAGAACCTGGATGGCATGTATAGGTTTTTGGTTGTATGTGTGTAAATGTGTGTGTGTGGTATGTGTATGTGATAATCGCTCCAACTAAAAAGCTTTTAAATTGATAAAGAAAAACAAGATTCAACACAGCGGAGTTTGTCAAACGTTCCAAAAATTTTGAAATTGGCTTGTAGCTGCTTCAGAAACGTTGCCGTCATCAAAGCCATTAAACTATTGCCGCAATTGTGTGTATAATGGTATGGTATGGAGAATTGATATAGCGCCCCTCTATGTAAAACTCAGAGGCGCTGTTCGAGAAGCTGCCGGTCAAAAAAGTGATGTTTAAGTCGTTTTCGGAACATGTCCCTCTCATCCATACTATCAACGACATCATCGGGCAATTTATTCCAAACCTCCGCTGCAGCCACGGAGAAACGACGCCGTCCATAATTTTCTGTCCTGAACCTAGGAACAACGAGTTTCTTTTTGGCAGAAGATCTGAGTTTTCGCCCCCCGGCAGCCGTAGGGACAGGCACGATCAGCTGTTGAAGGTATCGAGGACCAAGCCCCATCAAACTGTCTCTTGTAAACATTGCTATTCTGAATTCGATTCTATAACAAACTGGCAACCAGTGAAGCTCATTTCGCATATATGATGAAACAGATTCATATTTTGTTACACCAGCAATTATTCTTGCTGCAGTGTTCAGAATAGACTGTATGCAGTTTTGAAGATACAAGCTTGTACCATAGAGGATTGAACTGCAGTAATCTATTCTTCCACAAATGAAACTGTGCATCAATGAAATTAAGCATTCATTTGTCTGGTACTTTTTTATACGTCTGATTTGGCGCAATTGGTAAAAACATGATCGCAGACATTTTTCACATGTTTATTCATCTTCAATTCAGGATCTATCCAAACATCAAGATTGTTGACTGGCTCTACATATTCCTGAATAACAGTTAATTTTTGACGAGTACCCAACCTGATGTATTGTGTCTTGTCAATATTCAGCTTCAATCCATTTGCCAGCATCCATTCTGAGACAGTTCTGACACCTGTTTGAGTTCTGTCCGCTAGTTCCTGTCTTTCTTTGATATTGCAGTAACTATACAGCTGTATATCATCTGCGTAAAGGTGACATTTCAAACCCGATGACTCAACAACTTCCACAATATCTGCCGTATAGAGAACATAGAACAGGGGTCCCAGAATTAATCCCTGTGGAACTCCTTTCAACAGTGGGGAGGAAGCAGGATCAAAGCCATCAACACATACCGTTTGCGATCTGTCAGACAAATAGGATTCAAACCAGGCAAGGACCATTCCACCCAAGCCATATGACTTTGCAAGTCGATCAAGAAGGAGCTTGTGGTTGACCGTATCGAAAGCAGCTCCGACATCGAGCAGAGCCAAGAGAGAGATACTACCAGAATCAATAGCCTCATAAACATCATTGAAGACCTTTAAAATCGCTGTCTCAGTTGAGCGTCCAGAGCAAAAACCTGATTGAAGTTCAGGGAAAAGTCGGTTTAATTTCAGGTAGTCGATCAATTGTTTGGCCACCAATTTTTCAATGAGCTTGGAAACAAACGTGAGGTTTGAAATCGGCCGATAGCTCCTAACATCACTCGCATCGGAACCAGCTTTTTTTAGCTTAGGAAGTGTGATAGCCCTTTTTTGACTCTCCGGCAGACATGACGATTGTAGTGATGCATTACATAATGCACATAGATATGGCATCAGAATACCAGAAAATTCTTTGATCAAGAAAGATAGTGCAGGGTCAGTACCACAACTTTTTGCTGGCATCAATGACATTATTTTTGCCACCTCATCTGGTGCGACAATCTCAAACTGGTCAAAATGACAGCTAACTTCTCTGATGACAGGAGATTGTGGTCTACAAAGATAATTTATTATGAAAATAAAAACTCTTATACATACAATTAGTGCAACTACTTAATGGCTCCGATGATGGTAACATTGCCGAAACATATATGTATGTAATGTATGTATGTGTGTGTATATATATATTTATTTATAGGCTTGTTTGTAGGCTTTTACATAAACAACATTTAAAAAGATAATTTTAAAAATATGTTCTTTTGCCTGAGTTCCAGATAAAAATTTATGAATGGTTGCAATTTGTTTGTTTCCTATAGATATTTCAAGATGTAGAACTAGGTTTGATACTTTGGTTGGAATTTTTTATACTCATCTTATCAGCATTGACCTATTCAAAGACTTATTCATATTCAGAACGATGTTGTTCAAAAAAACATGTGAACTCAAACATTAAGGAATTTTCAAAGGAGCCGTCCATAAAGGATGTCACACTTTAATGGGGGGGGGGTCTAAATTTTTGTGACACTTTGTGACGAGGTGAGTGTAAACGCAAGTGTGTCGTCTCTTCTTTTAAATAAACAAAGCAATAAATAAATTTTCATTCATATATATATATATATATATATATATATATATATATATATATATATATATATATAAAGTTAGACAAGTCAGAGTTGCTGCTAGACGTCAGAGGGACTAATTGCAGTAAGTGCATTTGAAGAAAACGAAGATGTTGAATGGCCGAATGAAGATTACTTGGACACTACCAACATAGAGTTATCAAATATACTAAAAGAAGAAAGCCCATGTATTCCGTTGGTTTCAGTTTCACAGCCAGCACCTGACCAGCCTTTGGTAGGAAAACAATTCGGGATCCTTTATATTAATTCGTTATATTTTATTTACGGTAAAGCATTTAAACATCAAACTATTGTCATATAAACTTGTCATTCGTTATTTTGATATCAATAAAAATAAAATGCTCAGAACAATTACATTGTTTAATGACTCTTCACTAAGAGGGGGGGGGGGTAAAGTTTTGTGACAAGCTTATTTTTGAGGGGTTGGTCGATTTGTGACAGTTTGTGACACGGGGGAGAGTCATAAAACGTAAAAAATGCGTGACATCCTTTATGGACAGCCCAAATGAGAAGAAATTATTTTTAAAAGGGCAAAAATTAGACTCAATAGTGTAGGGCTAATACTTTTGAGACCATGGTTTAAAATTAAAAGTTTAATATTAAATGGTTAAAATAAAGCAAAAATAAATTTTTGAAATATGAATCAAAAATAAAAAACTTTTGCAGTTTGCCCATTTCTGATTTAAATGTTTAATTCACAAACTTCTTTTTCCGCCTTAGTTGGTGGATTTCTGAGGAAGATGTGGATGGGTGAGTACAAGAGGTTGATGGCTGCCATCATCCACATCAGTCTGTTGGTGATGATGGATGGAGATGGATATTATGATGATGACGATTGACGTGATGGTGAGGATGTTACCTTGATCTAAATATTTTATAAAGTTGCAAAAAAAATTATTGGAAAAAATCATCATAGAAATTGTTTATTGAATATGATAAACAAACTAGAAGAAGCAATATTCTAGACTTAAATATTACTTCAAATCATATACGTTCTAGTGCTCGTGTGGTTATGTTAGTCTATATGGTTAAAGTTAAAAGCGAGTCATTTTTTACAGTAATTATTTAAAAAAGTTTTTAATTTAAAAATAAAATATAATATAGGTTTTGTTTATTGATTTTCTAATATGCCACTACGAATATCAATACGTTTATTTAACGGTTAACCAACGGTGTGGTGAATTACAAATGTTAAAATAACCTTTCAATCCAAAAATATTTTTACTAAATAATAAATTTGTAATAAACTGCTGGAAAAAAATTGACTTATATATGTTTAAATTATTACACTCAAACTTACATTTAAGTGAATAAATCAGTATTTGAATAAAATAACAATAAACATTGAAATGGCTGAACGTAGTAAAGTATCGTAAACTTCATTTTTACCGATGAAAAGAGAAACCAAAATAACTCTGGTTGATTTATCAACACAGTCAATAATAAAACAAGTCTAAATTTTTAATTTAATTTATTTATATTTTATTAGAAATGGGAATTATTAACAACGATGAATGCATTGAAAATCTAGCATGCGATTTGCAAAAACTATACAAGTGGGCCGAGAAATGGCAGATGGTGTTCAATGATGACAAATGCGCAGTCATACATGTGGCAGCAAAGGAAAGTGTACTTAAACTTCTTAACACGCCATTAAAACGTAGAAAAAGATTTAGGAGTATTAATTCATCGGAGTGGTAACGTAGCACGTCAATGCACAGGCAGCTTAAAGTTCAAACAGGGTTTTTGGTATAATAAAAAAAACAGTAAAAGCAGTAAATCCATATTGAACCTGTATGAGGCACTAGTCCAACCTAAGTTGGAGTAACCTTGGAATCTAGATTTGCAAAAAAAACAAACAAATTCTTGAAAATTTCGAAAGATTGCAACGAGAATGATCAAAGTGTTTCACGGTATGTCATTGAAGACAGATTGAAAGTTTGTGGTTTGACAATTTTAGAAAAAAAGAACTAGACAAAATTTGATTCAGGCACACAAAACCATCATTATGACAGAGAATTTGAAATAAGTAACATTATTTGAGTTAAAGATAAACAGTAAAACAAACGGGCACAATATAAGATATTCCAAAAAAGACTCGAGAACGATAAAGCAAAAAATTTCCAGCTGTAGAGTTAACAATGAGTGGAACACATTAGAAAATGAAATAATATGAGTAGAAACAAGTATAAACTTCAAAGCACACTTGGCAAAATTAGGACATTGAAATTTCCGAGTGGTGCTGTCAAAGTCTCAGTCTTCTTTGATCACTATAAAACTTTAGTTATGTTACATTATGTTATGTTAATTATAAACATTAAACATAATTATAAATCAGCATTGTTTTAACAAAATCAACTCCAATTTATTATCAAATTAAATTGTTTCAAAAAATAATTTTCAATTGAATGTTTAATATCGTTTCACCCTTTGAATCCTATTAACTTTATGACAGGTCCACTGAGTGTTGGCCCTGTTAATTTGAAATAAACTATTTATTGCTACTTTATTTTTTAATCAAAATTAAGAATAAGCTGAGTTAGTGAAAATGCCATTTTTCTTCATTTACGCAAAGTTTTATATAGAATTAAATAATACAATAAAAATCATTCACAACCAACTAACAAACTGCAAATGCCAAACAAAACGCCGTGTCAGTAATGGCATAGATATTTCCATATATGGACACGTGACGTATGTCGACCAGGTGAGCCATCATCGGCATTATTGATGAATCTATTAAGCCTGTTTTGTTTTTAGCGATAATGGTAGAAACCGGTTAATCAGACCATAAGTTTATTGGACCACCACTTAATCGGACGAGCCAAATTTATAAAAAACTCAAGTTTTATTTTGCAATCCTAATTAATTTTTTTAATAGGAACACAAAAAAATCGTTAACGAGGTTCAAAAATTTTGAAAATTTTTAAATCTTCCGAGGCCAACAATCTGCCCAAAATTTTGTTGGTATGCCGACTCCCTTCTAAGTCCACCGCTGAACATAGCAATATATATCAATTGTATTTTATATTTATTATCGGATATTATTAATAGCCATATATTGAGACTCACCGATTGCAAATCCAAGCGCAGCAAGTGGAACTATTAAATGTTCAAAGTGAGTGGCGAGTGGTATCTGTTAAATAATGGGAATATATTTTCATAATTATCAACACCTGTTTAAACAGTAAAATATATAAAATATAAATAATTATTTAAAAAAACATTAAACTATATTTTAAGTGTAGACCTTCCATCATTGGAATAATTACTCACAAGAAATAGTGACGCACTGATGATGAATGATCCGATCATCGCACTCAACCATCTAAAAATAAATAAATGCTAACATTTCAATTAATTACAAAATTTTTTAAACTAACTATTACGTCACATCATGCACTATCAAAAACTGTGCAAACCTTAACCTTTATTTACTTTTCTATTTTAATTTTGATTATTTGTTTTCAAATTTATTTAAATAATGTTATGGCAAACGAATTTGCCTATTTTCAATAAATTAAGAAAAACTTTCAACTTATTATTCAAATTTTGTTAATTAAAATAGATTTTATAACAACTTTATAACCTTCCAATTTTATGAGCAAATAGTCCAACAAGATAAGTACCGATAAGGTAGCAGAGACTTCCAGGAAGGAAAGCCATTCCTTGCTGCCAATTTGATGATCCCATAGTTTGGATCATGTGCAATGGCAAGATGGGTTCAAGCGCGGCGTATCCCATGACACCCAAATGTATTGATACTAGAATAATTTGAGTAGAAGTGTTTTAACTTTTCAATTAAATTATTCGAATGATAAATAAATTAATCAATCAATCACTAGATCGATCGAGATTTGTTAAATTCTTTGGGTTTAATTATTTCAATGTGCCATAAGTTGTTAAGATTTAATATGAAAGTGTTCAGTCTTTTAAATTTTAATCATCCTATGTCTAATTAATATCCGTTGACGTGCTTATTCGTGTGTATTTTATTATCTTCATTTCTATTACATTATTTAACATTGACAACCTTCTAAATGTAATTGTTTCAAACATGTACTAGCACGTACAAGTGAAATGTCTGTTTTTATTCTTAAACTCCATTTTGTATGTACGAGATGAAAATCTACTAACATAGATTGTTATTTTAACTGAATATTATTGCCGAAACGGTTTTCGCTTACTCAAATTTTTATGTTTCATTCCGATTTTTCATTTATCGTAATTATTCACAAAAATTAAGACAGGTTTTAAATCTTGGAATCTCAATCTTATGATGTTTGTTAAGATTGCTAATTAACGCCACACAAAATAAAATTACACAATAATATTTGATCGATCGATCGATCGACTGATTGAATAATTCCTTTGTTTATCAGTTGGATAAATTAAATTATTTAACCAACAAAATACAAAATTATTAATCAAATAAACAACCTACCAACCAACAGCAATGATTATGTATGGATCAGACAACAGCTTCTTCAATGAACTTCCCTTCTCCTCCTCTTTTTCCAGTTTTGGTTGTAAAACGAACAATACCATGGCTTGTGATAATCATCATAATTGTTGTTATTAACTTCAAACGGGTAAACTACGCTGGGGTTGGGAATTAGAAATGAGCTCCCATCTCTTACAAAATACTCCTATTGGCAGTTGGTGACTCACCCTAGTCAATCAAGTCCTACTTTCAAGTCCTGTTTACTGCTCCCACGACTCGGGTTCGAATTCTGCAGTTTCTACAGGTTCATCCGGTAGCCGACCCCCGGCCAACCCAGCCGTCCATCCTTTCGAGGCTGGTAAATGGGTAGACAACGTAAGTTGTCGCATGTTGGCCGGCGAGATGGCTTAGTGGTTCAAATGCGCGCTGAGTCAAAACATCTCAATGGCTATCATATACTCAGCGTAAATGATGCGGTGCTTGCGCGTGCACATAAAATGCATGTGTACGTCGTGTGAAAAGGATAAACAGCCTTTGTGGCAAAAGATGGATGTTTCAAATCAATGGTTAAAGAAATGAAGAACATAAAAGATATACAGATAATATATCTGTAACATTGTAAGTGGTTCTGTGTGACAGAGCTGCAATAATAGGGACTAAAAAAGAAAAAAGTTTTAGTCTTCAAATGGCGAAATTTTGGTCTTAACCAGTTGCTCTGGGCTGGTAGAGCACGTAAGCTTTGGCTGGCTACCACATAGAAAAAAAACTTTTGTTCTAAATCTCCACTGCTTCGCGGTCATTCATGGAAAAGACTATGTGAGTAAACCCAAACAAAAAATTACCCTTGGCAAGTTTCTAAAATTTTTCACCAAACAACTGCAAAATAGGCAAAACACCAAATTAGCACCGGCAGCTGGCTAAATAAAAAGCGATTCTGCTGCACCAACCCGACTACAGACTCGGTTAAGCCGCTGCGCGTACATCGATTAGTCAGCATTATTGCAACTTGTTGCGCCTGCTATCAACAATTAATGTGAAAAAGCGATTGGAGCATGCCGCACAAACAAGTTTCACTATAATTCATTTATCTGTAAAAATAATCATTGGCTGATATTTCTTCATGGGAGAAAAGAATGCTCTGAGTTCCCCGCGACTGAGAAGTGGCAACGTGCACAGAGAATATGTAGTCACAAACTCGCTCGAGGGAGATTTAGGTGTGTCGGTCGTTCACAGCTGATTGATTCAAAGAGCCCCAACAAGAGCGGACTGCAAATCTGCGGTTGATGTCCAAAACAACAATGGTGCAGAAACGTGGGTCTGTCAGTTTTTTGTTCTTGAAAATACCTCTGAAGAGTTGGGCTTTTTGCTCAAGAAAGGACCCACTGATGATGCAATCCGTCTTACCGACTGTGCAGTTAAATTGTTATTGTTAGCACTACCATTATGTTATTACCATTTCCATCATTGCTATTTATATCACCATCACTATCGTCAGCATAATCATTCACATCTTCGTCATCAACTTTCATCACCATAACAATCATCACCTCCAGCAACCATTGCAACAGCAGCCAAGATGATGAATGGTGTCTCCTTGCCAAAAAACTCATACAGGACTCCTCCGCACGTGGGACCAACTGAAATGGCGAAGATGATGATGTTAGTGATGATTATAATAATGACAATGGTGGTGGTGGTGATGATTATCAAGTTGACAAAAACAACGTTTAAAATATTGAAAAATTTTATTTTTATTAAATTTTAATTATAATCAAATGTACTTTTACAAATAAGTTAGATTCTAAAAACGTAAAACATACATTTAAATAAATTGAACCTATATAAACGTTTAAGTCGCATACTGTTTGTTTAAAAAATGAAATTTTTACTGATGCTTTGATATCACAAAGGGGCTTCGGTAGTGTCATTTATATAGACTAAAAAAGTCCGGTGACGGATCTAGGGCCGTTGTGAGTAATGTTGTTATTAACAGTCAGTAAAAATAATTTTTTGCATGAGAAAAACTGTTTCTAAGTATAAAATACTGAAAAAATTGGCGTGATAAGCAAATTTTTGCTCTTCCCGTCGAGAATGTCTAGATCCGCCACTGAAAAATTTGATTATGTTTAAGAAGGTCTAAAAATCTTTTCATTAGTTTTTTGTTGTGCAGATAATTTGTTTTCAACTTGCATTGTTAGCCTTTATAGGTGTTAAAAGTTTTCATCTTGCTTATTTAAAGTCTGCATTAGGCCTGCTGATTTACTGCCGTATAGGTTTTTTCAGATGTTTTACTGATGGCTTGTTGTTAGCGCTAAAGATAGTTGTTGATGGCTCAGTCTTTGTATTATACGCTTTATTTTTTAACATATGCGTTGTGATTGGCTGTGTATTATAATGTTTTGTATACTATTTTAGACTAATTTTTTGTTCATCATGTGAATTCTTTACCACAAACTGCTTAATAGTGAATCGAATAACATAATTGTTCAGCGCCATATGTAACTCTGCTTCAGATAAGCCCATTAAAGTTATGTGTTTAGTCTTTCTTGATCGTCTCATTTTGAAAGGTAGCTTATATCAAACATCCGAAGAGGCATAACGGAAGCTGCGGCTCGCAAGGTGGGATTTGGAGATAAAATGTTCAAAATGATCATGGATGGATAGGGGAGTGATCTGGCGTGGTTACGGTAAGATAGGTAACTGTATATACAGAACGTGGATTTTGTAGATATTTAAAAAAATAAACAATGGTTGTAAAAATAATTCAAAGAGAAACAAAAATAGTTAGAAGGAGTATGATACAGTTATAGTGGGGATGTTTTTAAAGGTTAAGCCTGGCGGTCTAATGTAAGTTTTATTGTTTTTTGATAGACGGGAGGCTTTATACAGAAATTAATTGCTGTAATCTAAATCAATTTTGATAAGACCAGGCATTTTCCAAAAATATCTGCAACATCGTTAGCCAATATGTTTTACTGTGCAAATGGGCTGATATAAATAAATAAATAAATATATATATATATATATATATACATACATTCGGTAGAATTTATAGATTATTGTAAAAATTATGGTCTATTACCAACATATATATATATATATATATATATATATATATATATATATATATATATATATATATATATATATATATATATATATATATATATATATATATATATATATATATATATATATATATATATATATATATATATATATATATATATATATATTGCTGGAAAAGGTGGATTTATGCTATATAATTAATTATTATTATACATTTGCTATTTATCACCGACTGTAAACCATGGAATCATACCAGAGGATTGTAAAAAAAAGATGTCGAATCGATGCTAAAACTGTATTATATATGACCGGCACGTATTATGTGTACCAGGGGTTTCCATGGAGGCTTAGGGGAGGTTTTGAAGCAGAGTTGTAATTGTGATTTATATAGTTATTTGGATTAGTTTATTGTTTCAATTATTGTTGGCATTCAAATAAACGTTCAACAAAGTTTGCGTTTGAAGCAGTTGTGTTCATCTATCGGAAATCATGAATACGTGTACGAAGCAAAAGCACGTGATATCTGCGACGCACGTGTTAATGTGTTGACGTGAAGAAAAAAAGCAGTTACCGTATTGATGAAGATGATGACAAAAACTACAATGAAGAATTTGAAAATATTGCCAAAGTTGGCAGTGATAAAGACGCTGAAACGTTTGATAAGCTGTGGAACTACTACTCGGTTCTTATTGCTAGCAACTCACCTGAATTCGTTTTTTAATGTTTTTCATTACTATCGTAATGATGAAAAAAATGATGCTTTTCATTACTATTGTAATGATGAAGACGATAACAAAGACGTCGATGAAAGTTTTGAGAATAGTCCAGAAGTTGGCAGTGACAGCAGTGACAATGACATTGAAACTTTTGATATGCAGTGGGACTACTACTCAGATATTTCTACCAGCAACTTGCCTAATGCTTTTAATTTTAAAGAAGAAAGTGGCAAAAACAACAAAGAAGGACTTGAAAAATCCTAGAACTTAGCTGTGACAAAGACGGGACTCAGAACAGTAAGTGTAGCAACCCAATTTTGCTAGAGTCGTAGAAGAGATCTTTTCTCCCTGCAATCTTTCTAGTAGTTGTTAGATTTTGTATTCCTTCCTTCCGCATGATGTGACCAAGAAACTTTAACTGCCTCCATCGGATTATTTGTAGTAATTTTTTCTTTTCATAACCAAACTGTTTTAATGCATTTTCATTGAAAGTATGAGAGGTCCAACTAATTTTGACAATTCTTCTCAAAAATCACATCTCAGCAGCATCAATTCATTATTATTTTTTCGGTAATAGGTTGGACCGTCCTGATTAAATGTTGGTTTTTTATTAAAAAGAAATTTTGAAGAGAGAACAAAATTATTTTGCACTAAAAGACGAATAACGTTTTTTTTTACCAAAATTGGAGATAAAAAAACAAAAACTGCTTTTGAATTAAAGCAGGTTTTGTTTTTTTTTGTCAAGATGGTGTCAAAATGTGATGGCTTTGAAATATCGAAATTAACTTTATCATATCAATGTGGTTAGTTTTGGTAAATTAAAAAAGACATTCCCTTCTTTGATAAAAAAAAAACAAGGAAATTGAAGACTGGATTTTATTAATTTTTACAGCCTACTGTTTATTAGGCCTAATTTACCTACCACACATTTACAACTTACCAAGAGCTCCAATGGCCAGTCCTCCCAAAGCGATTGCCAGAGCATTACCTCTCTCTTGGTCATCTCTGTACAAATTGGCCAACATGCCTAATCCTGTGTGCATGGTGATAAATTGAGGTAAATATTGATAATAAAATTAATGAATGGATTCTTATTGCAATGATGGTTTAATTGACAGTCTATAAAACATTGGATAACACATTTTAATAATCATTAAAGTAATTAACCACGTTATAAATAACATTATTCTAGTTATTATTATTATTGCTATTGTTTTTATTATTATTAAAACCATTGTTTGTCGTTCTTAACTCCCCACCATAATCATTATTATGATTCTCATCATCACACCTGACACAGTGGAACATGATGATCCTAATCCCTGGCTTGCTCTGGCCACAAACAAAACCTTGTAACTATTGCCAAACGCAAAAGCTTTAAAAATCATTTTAACAATAAAAAAGAATTTTACATTTATTCAATATATGTATTAATTACTTTTATGCAATAATTATACTTTAAAACGATATATGTAAAATAAAATATAATCTATTAAAAATTAAGAAAAGATAATATTTTCCCTATAACAATTCAAATTAAAATGTATTGCTATTACTAACTTAAGGTAGAAGCGAACATAATGATGAACCCGATAAAAAACGGTATGCTGTAACCAATTCTGTTCGTTATCGGACCGACAATTGGGTTAACTATCATATGGACCACCGCGTTTGAAGCAAACAATAGACCAACTGCAACATTTTCATCGTCCATATACGATGATGGTGATGATGATGGTGATGACGATAGTGATGATGATGGTGGTGATGACGATGATGATAATGGTGATGGTAATGATGAAGATGGTGATTTCGCCAACTCCATTTGTTTGAGATCGTACAATAAGTCAGGAACTATGGGAACTGAATGAGATTTTAATGAAAAAAACTTCAACAAATTTCGTTCATCATTTATATTATATATTTTTCAAAGCCTTATGAATAACATCATGTAATATACTTCTGACATCTAAATCTATCTCCATTTTGTCCTTTTATATTAAAGTGCCTACTAGTTCGCAAATGTTTTGCGATGTAAATGAAAATTAAAAAATTTAATAAGGTTGTGCAAATTTAAACGTTGTTAATTAATAATAAATTAAATTCACAATTACATTCAAAATATAAATAAAAAGTGATATAAATGTTAATTTCATCACTCCAATTGATAAGTAGAAAAATAATCAAAAAACGAATAAATTGATACTTAATTGTGCACAGCAACTAAATCACACTTAAACTTTTCTGCGTTACCTTGACAAACAGTTGTTGATCCTCAACAACAACGAAAGTACGCTATCAGTGGCGGACCTAAAGAGGGGGCCTGGGGATCAAAAGAAGTGTTTTTTTTATAAAAAATTGATATTAAATTGGCCCCCCCATTTAACCATGAAAAATTTTTGAAAAAAAATTTTGTAAAATCCTCTCTTGCTCACCAACTTTTTTTAAATTAATTATTTAAACATTTTTTTTAAAATTCCCCTCCTCTGGTCATCGACTTTTTTTGAAAATTCTCTTTCTCGGTCATCAAAATATCTTTGAAAATCTTGGTTACCCCCATCAAAGTTTTCTAGACCCGCCACTCTACGTTATTACCACCATTGTGCCAATTCACACAAAAAGCATTTTTTAAAAAAGTAAAATTATTA